TACACATGTGCACTCATACACAAGCAATCTACACTATACATACACATGTGCACTCATACACAACACATAAATACTAAATACGTATACACATACACAGTCCCTATACATATCCATACACACACACACTAATACGCATGCACATCTACAATCATACACACAATCTATACTACACACACACATCCAACACACAAATACACACATATCAATACTGTACACATATACCCACTCACCACACACACCCATACACACACCAATCAACAATATACACATCCACAAATATACAGACATCAATGCTCATACACACACACACACACACACATTCATACCAAATCCACACAATGTGTACTACGCATATGCTCACACATATATACAACCATAGATACATCTATACTGTACACATACACATACCTACTTATCCGACACCCTAATACATACACAGCCTTGCATGCAGTCACACACACATACACACAGACTCTGAAGCATAATTTACTATCAAACATAAGCTCTTCGTATATTCTAGCATCCCTTGTCTTCACATATTACAAATTCAAGTTAGTGGTAAGACTTTCACAAAATGCTGTCCATCAGGAAACAGAATATGAGCTCGTGTTCACAGGGCTGTTCTCTTGTGTGTTGTAGGTACTTTTCACACATGAGGAGAAGGTGAGCTTCGTAAAAGACACGTTCCCAGAGTCAGAGACCCCTTGCCCACCATGAAGGGAGCCTGCATCCTTGCATGGCTGTTCTCAAGCCTGGGAGTGTGGAGACTCGCCCACCCGGAGACCCAGGATCCCACCCAGTGCCAGAGAGCCGAGCATCCTGTCATCTCCTACAAAGGTAAGGAATAAGGGTATAAGGGATAAAGGGAAAGAAATAAGACCATAACATAAGCTCAAATCCCATGTTTAATGCAAGACAATAGAAGATGGATGTTTCTTTTTGTTCTGTGACTGCACCTGGTAATTGTTTAGAATGAGATTATTCCCCATGAGATCCTCGTGTAGGATCCCAGATGGGATTGTATGGATAGAAATTGTGTTATTGTACCTTCTTCATTCAGCAGGTGCTGTAGGGCTCCCAGACATTCAATCAAAGGCTGAAACCATGGCATCAGCACTGCAGCAAACAGTAATATGACAGGAAAGGGAAAAAATTCTTCTGACATCCCCTGATGAAGCCAGGGTCTTTCCGGAACGAGCCCCTGGGTCCTCATCTAGCACCGCCATGCAGTGCCATCCACTGTAGTCTGCAGTGTCTGCTCAGTGTGGGAGAGTTAGCGCCTGAAAGGTGCATTCACTCTTTTCTCTGCCAAATTTATGTACGGTCTTGATGGCCTGGACACTTGAACAGTTCACAGTGAGGAGAACACAAAAAAATGTCCCCAGAACGCCTCTATGACCAGCCCAGATCACACATTGCATTTTATCCTAACTCAATTCAACAGCTTTTTGTTAGGTATAAAGCTTTGTATCACAGAGTTCACATGTCGATACGAAATATAAACAATAATCTAAGCCCCACATTTATTAATTTATGTTCTATTTTTCTTGTTTACATACCTATCCCTTATTTGTCTCACATCTATCAAAGTATGTTGGCCCAAATTCAGGATATCATGTAATTTTATCTATGATATTTCAGTCTGCAGCTGTTAATGAGAAGAACTTTATGATGTTATTGTTACATCAGACATGGAAAGGCTCCCAAATAAAACATTTCCTAAAACCATGAAGTGAATTTTCAGTCTCATGAGGATGTGAATTCTGTGGGTCAAACAAGGATCTACTGAAATCCAAATAGTACAATTTTCTTGGATAGTTCTTGGATGTGTTTAAATATTTTATTGCATTTTTCATTACCCATGAAAAAAAATCTTTTAAAGAAATAGAACCATTCACCCAGTGTGGTTTCTGCTCACAACATCCTGTTTTTGTCAGTCGAGTTTTCCTGTGTCCATTATAGCCCATAATCCCAAGTAACACAGGTCCTGATGAGAGCCCCACGCACATCTTCCTTGACTTCCCACAGCAATGGACTCTGACTGTGACGCAGTGTCCAGTGGAGGTTGGCAGTGATTACAGCCACTGGCCACTGGGAGCAAACTGAGCTGCTCTCATTTTACCATCTTCTCCCCATCTACTAGTTAGCACACTTTCACGTGAACCAAGCTTCCTTCACCTGCTCTCTGAACTCCACTGCCACACAGCTGGGAGAGGAAAGCTGGGCTGAGCTTACCCACCACTACCGGCTTTTCTTCTGCTTTGTTTTCAGTGCAGTTAGTGGGTTCCCTGGCATTGAGCTGTTCATTTGTCATTCCAGGAGATCTGAGAAGTTATGTTTTCTCTTGTTTTCCTTTCTCTTTGATGAAATTGATATCAATACATGAATTTAATATAATAGAAAGATTTTTATTCATTGCCCTTTTTTTTTTGCCCCTGGGGATGTCGGAACGATGCCCTTTCAGCCTAGGGGAGCATCTTGAAGTTGGGTCCTGATCTCAGTGGTAACTTTGAGTCTCTTGAGTCAAAGATGCTGCTATTCTCTTACCTACATTCTCAGATCACTTTGGGAATGGTCCTTCCTGGTGCTCGGAACACTAGCAGTTAGGGCTCTTTAGTGGACAGCACTTAGGGAAACATGTATGAAGATTAACCCTGTGAACTCCTGTGCATCTAGGTCATCTCTAAGCTTGAAGGAGTTAACATATGCCACCATGGCATCTGTTTCTTTCTGCTGTGCCCAGATCATTGTGCCTTTGTAGAGCAACACTCATTTCTTTTCGTTTCACACACAGCATGCCCCACCACCCCATCACTACAGTGCACGCCCACCACCCCATCATTTCCACAATAGCAACTCCACACACCTCTAGTTCTGGAATTCGTTGAAAACCCTTCAAGATAGTGTTTTCTACTTTCCTTTGTCTTCAGGATATGTAGTTCACTGAGAAATTAAAACCAAATAGTCATTCTGAAGTCCTAGAGAGCCATCTCATTCTCCATAGTCATGCCAAGAACCCCAAACTCAGTTTATTTGAGTTCCTAGATTTTGCTTTTCAGTTTTAGAGAATTAATGTAAAATTGATGGCATGAGACTTGTTCATTGAAATCTGTCCTTTCTATCCATTCTCTGTTCTGGGTTCCCACTCTACATTTACATAAAGCCTTCGTGGTTTATGGTCCTTTCATTGCTCAGACAAAGATGCATACACGTACAAACACAATCAAAGCTGGCAATCTTTCCTAAAAAGTGTTGTGTGTACAATTTTGTACAATGGGTTAAACTCGGGCACCAGAATGTCCACATCTACACCAGTGTTTTTCCTGTGATGCCCCTCTCTGCTATGCTGTGCACTGGTCCTATTATAATACCATCTCTGAGCGTTGCAGTAAAAGATTTCCCAAGGTCTGGGAATTCTAGGCTAAAGGGTAAAAGGGCCTGTTTGAAGGTATCGTTGCCTGAGGGTTTGTTCCCTGCACCCGTGCCAGCAGGGAATGCTGTCAGGGTTTGCCATCTGAGTCCAACCCACAGTTCACAGATGAGATCTCAGAGTGTTGTAAATGATCTTTTCCCCAGGGCTAGGCAAGCACTCCATCATTGGTTGATTCCCCAACTCTAAGTTGCCTATTTTTAGTTTTGGGTGAACATGTAACAAACATCTAATGAGTGCCTGTTGCCAACAAGGTCAGTGATAATCTTCAGTTCAACAGAGGCTGGTCTCTAAGAACCAAAGGCCCTTCATATCACACTCGGTTAGTGTCTGTGTCATGTGCATGGAACCCAGGAGAGGAACATGGAAGTCAGGCAGCCCCAGCCCCAGCATCATTTATGGAAGGTTTCTAGGAAAAGCTCCTGGCAGAGCTGAGTCCCAGATGGCTGCCAGGAGCTTGTGAACCTTGTGAAGAGGCAGATATCCCAGAGAAAGGAAGTGCTGAAGTGGGAGGAAGGTGCCCCACAGGTCCTAGCAAATGCACAGTATGGAATGAGTCACCACATCCTTACCTAGGTCAAAGGGAAGGAGGTGAGGTGGCTAAGGCTATCATAGAGAGTGCGGGTTTAGATGTGTGTGCCATGGAGAGATATCTGAAGATTAACCTCCACAGGGAGGAAGGAAATGTGTGGCCCTTAGGCCAGCATCTGGTGCTTCTGCTCTGATCACAGGCAGCGAGAGGAAGAAACTTGAGGTCTAGTTGGTAACACAAATACAGAAAAGCAGAAATGGACGCGGTTCTAGACATTGGAGAGAGCTACAGTTGATGATATAATAGACAGAGAACACAAGTGTCTAGGAAGCTCCGTTGATATCTAGGATCTTGAATCTTTACTCCAAATATGGTCAGTAAGGGAGGCAGATGTGAGGGGCATACTACCTGTGGTCTGGGAAGCCTTTAAGCCCCAGAGGGATGGATTTAGTCAAGGGCAAGACACTGTAGATCTCAGTGAGGGATTCTTTTAAAGACAGAGTTGGCGGTAAAAGTCTGATAATGCATTGTGCAAGTTCAGCCTGGGCCAGAAGGCAGAGGAGGCACCTTGCCCTGGTTGTCCTGGGCCTTTTCTTCTAGTGTCGAAACTTTGTGCATTTGAAAGGCCAAACAGTGATCTGCATTCCGTAAGGTCTCTGGGTTTTGCTTTCTTAGGACTGCTGCAAAATGATCGCCAACTGGGTGATTTCATCATGTCTTCTCTCACAGTGCTCTAGCCAGCAGGCCCCCGAGACAGGGTGGATGAGCCCTGCTTCCCTGCTGACTCTAGAGAAGACTTCATGTCTTACAGTCAGCAACAGTCCATGACCTGCCTTGGTTTGCAGTTATATCACAGGGAGTCTCCTAGGCTATACACTCTCTACAATCTCCTGTGTACCCTTCTGTCTTCTCTTCTTGTACCAGGTCACTCTGTATTAGAGAAAGCTGAATACAGTATCACCCGGTCTCAAACAGTTCGTCTGGAAACGCAGTTTTCAAACTGTGGCACCCACATTGGCAGGTGCTTTTGCTCAAGACTGAAGGAAGGCCGAAGGGCCTGGTTTTGTGTGGCCCTTGCACAGCCTGTATTAGGTTGTTTAACCAGGGCTGTGTAGGAGGAGAAAGTAAAACATATTTCATGGAAAGATATCTCTGTGGATTCAAAGAGATAAAAATGTTAGTTGTGCAGGGACAGGAAGATAGGAAATAGCTTTGAAAAGAGCATTATTGAATAACCCTTTAGTGAAGGTGGGAAGAAGCCAGGAGAAGGAAGAGGCTAAAGAAAGCAAAGAGAGGGGGAGAGACTCAGTGTGGCCAAGCCATTGAACTGTAGGAGTGGGTGGGGTCCTGGAACAGGTGAGAGGCTCTTTGGTAGGAAGCAGAGCCCACCTCCAGTGAGCTGGACTGGAGGGAGGGGCACAGGCACCCAGGAAGCAGGACAGAGAGTGGGTTGAGTTGGGGTAGGAGTTCCTGGGGAGTGGGCAGGTGATGCCCAGGAGACTGGAGTCTCTCGGAAGTCCGCGAGGGTTTAAACAAAGGAAAAGCCTACTGATGGAACCCACAAAAGATTCCCTGCGGATGTGGTGAGAATAGCTCACGCTGGAGCTGACTGTTGGTCACCACTTTAGCACAAGAACACATTTTTGAGATGGAGGACCAGCTATGCACTAAAGTTTGAGAAACTGCCCCACCACACTGGCAAGGGAGAGATAAAGGAATTAGATAGTCTGGTTTTAAAATCTTGATGTCTACATGGCTCTTTTAAACATCATGATTTTTAGTGTTATGCTTCGACAACATTCTACATAAAGAGGCTATTAGTGAAGTGGATCTTACGCCGATGCAGCTCCTTAATCTCATCAGCACTGTCTTGAT